AGTTTAGAGAAAAAATGCCCCTCAGCAAAAAATATACTTTTAACAAATATTTAAGAAGATATAATAATTAAAACCTTGAATAATCCCCGTATAAATAAGGGGTTCAGAAGGGGTAAATTAGACAATAGGGGAAGTAGGAAAATAAGCATATATTCTGACTGCTTATGGAAATAAACGAAAAAGGCAAAAATAGAATTTATGAGAGTTGGGGTTTTCCAGGCTCCTCGTAATTTTTGGGTCCTTGAAAATGGATTAAAATTAGTGATTATTTTTTGAACTCGGACAATTAGTTAAGGCTCGAAATATAAGAATAAGAGCCGCGGAATAAGGGTGACGACACAAGGCCGTATTAAAAGGGATAAGATAATCAAACAAATCCCTACTTATTTTTGTTATATCCAATGTGTAGATATCAAGTGTGGATATAACCTCTAAACCTGCCCTTTACATATATATTGATACTACTATTAATTATAACCATATAAAGCGTTATTTCTTTTTAAAGAAATAATATAAAGAAAAGAGAAAGAATGTTAACAGATCGGATATTTTTTCATTGAGATAGGAGAGACAAACAACAAAAACTTTTTGCTTGCTTTTTTTGTTTTATCCACACTTGATATCTACTTCTTATATCTCATTAAAACCTTGCTAACAAGAGACTAAAAGGGGATTAAAACCCCTTATATGAACTTGTGAGAACAATTAGAAAACAAGCAAATTATTGAGAGGGGAGAAGTAGAAAAATATTTAGTCCAAAAATTAGGTCAACCCACCAATCAACTTTCTTTTAATTGTTTAACCGAATTAACCAAAAAAATTGCTTCTTATTACCAAGAGCAAATATCCAAAAACTTCACCATTTATTCTTTGGTCGGATTTTTGACCTCTCCCGAGCAAATTATCGAAAAGAAATTTAAAGAGGGCAAAAGGATGGGGCAAACTTATTATGTTTTAAAAGTAGGAAACGAAAAATTACAAGCCCTCTCTGAAAACTTATCTCCTGAAAAATGAGAACAAATAGCAAAAATGGCTATTATCGGGCAAAATTTAGTCTTTAAGTATAAAAAATGGATAATTAACAAGGAACTTTTGGACTTCTTGCCTCATGAAAAGTAAGGAAAAGTTGGGGGAAAGCCCAAAACGGGAGAGAGAACTTGGCTGGATGGTTGTCTGTAAGGTAGCCCTTTTTCCTAAAAAGGCTATACTAACGACAAAATCAGCCGTTTCTCCTTTCCCCGTTTGGCTTTCTGCCTACATTCACACACAAGAAAAATTTTTTAAGTAATAATGAATAATAAATATATAAATTGACAACAAATCTACACTAATCCAGCCCTTTTCCACATTTACTTAACCGAAAGAAAACGAGGAAAAACAGATAGTAAAGCCTGGTCTTTTTTAGAAAACATAATCACTAACTCTAATAAATATGTCTGATTACGGAGACATTGGCACGACAGCCTGGAATGTTCTAAACCCTACTGACAAGATTTAGTTTATAAGTTTTGTGAAGAAAAAGGAATAAAAAATAATTCTTTTGAGGTCCAAGAACAAGGATTATTTTATTTAGGCAAACGGAGAATATATTTTTTTGATTTATTCTCTTTTCGGAAAGCAAGAGGCAAAATTGCTCGGGGGACTGTTTTCTCCGAAATAGTTTACGAGGAAGCAATTCCGATCGACCAAGAAATTTTACCAAGAGAACAATGGAAACTAAAAGACTTTATTGAGAGTTTAAAAAGAAATAGTGATAGCCCGTTAAAAATTACTTTTCTTGCTAATCCCTACTATTTTAGCATGTATTTTTTGGATAATTTTCCTCATCTCCAATCTTTACGAAAAGAAGCCGAGGAATTAAAAAGAAAAGGAGATAATAATGGAGTAAAAGCCGTTAGTCCTGATAAACAGTGATTTTTATATCTGAACTTATTGCCAGGAACTCCCGACCCCCACAGTTTAGCCTTGGAGGAAAAAATTAATCCTTCTCAAAGAAATTGAGACGATTTTATGACTGAACAACCCGGAAAATATAAAATTCTCCATGCCATTCAAGATTTTTATTTTTGTGAAGTAGGGGAGAGAAAAGTTTTTAAAAAATATTGTCTAATACATTTTACCAAGAATAAGAAAGAAACCTCAACCGAACTAGTAAATTTTTGTTTTGATAAAGAGGAATTGGCTAAAAGTAAATTAAAAAATAGTGTGATTAGAGAGAAAAAGGGATTGATTATTAAATGAATTAAACTCTTGAAGCAGGAAATGTTGAAATTTACTGATTATCGGAGTCGAGATTGATTTTTAGAGCAATTGAAAACAAATGGCTAGTATAAGTATTGATCCAGGAGGTAAAACAGGAATATATTTTTCTGATGGAGAACAAGAACAACTTTTAGAGATAAATAAGCCGTGAAAGGAAACTTATGGGGAGATTAAAGAGTTGGTGAAAGAGAACAAAATTGATATTGTTATTTTTGAGAATACCAATTATATCCATAAAAGGACGAAAGATGGATTAAATTTATTTCGATTATTAGGTGCTATTGAATGTTTAGAAGTTCAGCAAGTAAAGAGTGTTAATGTTTTGAAAGTGAAAGAGATGACAAAAAGATTATTAAATGGACTTACAAAAATAGCAGAATTAGAATTTAAAAAAGGAAGAGGTAAAGGTTGAATGTTTAAAAATAAAAGAATTAGTATTCACCAATTAGAGGCATTTTTGGTGTTTTATCTCTCGAAAATTAATCCAAACTCAAAACTTCCTTAATTATCTGATTTACTTTTTCCATTTCTGTATCAGTTAA